TTGCTTAAATTGCATTAGAACAGAAAGATGCTTATGGTTTAAATGGAGCATTTACTTCTGCTGCTCTGGAATGAAGACACTGTGTATGTGTGTGTGTGTGTGTGTGTGTGTGTGTGTGTATATATACACATACACATAAGAATATAAAAATACCAATCAGTTTGGCTAACATCCAGGCCAAAGTGTTGAAGTTAGTTGTCTCATTGAAAGAAATGGTAATTATTAATAAAAGGATATTGAGGAAGAGCTTTACTGCCAGTTAAAGATGTTTTCATTGTTGTTTTTTTTGTTTTTTTTTTTTTGAGACAAAGTCTCCCTTTATTGTCCAGGCTAGAGTGAGTGCCGAGGCGTCAGCCTAGCTCACAGCAACCTCAAACTCCTGGGCTCGAGCGATCCTTCTGCCTCAGCCTCCCAAGTAGCTGGGGCTACAGGCATGCGCCACCATGCCCAGCTAATTTTTTTTTTCTATATATATATATATCAGTTGGCCAATTAATTTCTTTCTATTTATAGTAGAGACGGGGTCTCGCTCTTGCTCAGGCTGGTTTCGAACTCCTGACCTCGAGCAATCCGCCCGCCTCGGCCTCCCATAGAGCTAGGATTACAGGCGTGAGCCACCGCGCTGGCCTTCATTGTTTTTAGTTGTCACAAATTCACTAATGTTAAGCTATCTGGAGAAACTGCTAGCATGAATAAGAAGGCTGCTGTGAAATTTGTACCCGGATTCTAAGGGTTAGTTAATTAGTTAAGGCAGATGTTATGATGATCATCAGGAAGGCAACCCCATCAAGAACTTAGTAAAAGGTATAAGATTGTGAAGTGGTCATAGAGTTAAAGATAGACTGACTCTGTTATCAGGAGGCAACTGCAGAGAGTGACTTTAAAAACCTGTGCTTATCTGGCCAATTAACTGTGGCCAGTGAATTGAGATCAACAAAATAGAAATGTGGGCTCCTGCATACAATCCAAAGGGTGTGAAAAAGAGGTCCTATCAGGCAAGAGATTCACCTTAATGTGTAAATGTAGGAGTAAAAATGGGGTCTATCATCCTTAGTTTAGAAAATACCATTTTCACAGGGAGAAAAAAGCATAGAAATCCCTTGCCTTGTGAGAGTAATTCTCAATGAAATGTGAAAACTTGTATTCTGTGAATCTGAGTTTCGTGGTATCCTCCCTGCCCTCCCAGTTCCTTTTTGTAAGGGTATCTATTTACTTTTCTAAACATTTTTTGGCAGGGAGTTGGAAGGAATTAAGCAATGCTAGTTTTTTCCTGATTATTTTGTAGCCTTGTTTATATTAAAAATTGAAAATGTATAAAACTAAATGCAAGTAGTAAATTAAAAATTACATTGTCTAAAATGCCTCTCCAAGTTAAATGGAGTATAGGTATTCATAGCTTGAAAAAGCTTGAATCCATAATTCATAACTTGGATTACTTTTAGGAAAAGTAATTTGGAGTTACTCTGTTGGCCCGTTCATGAAAAAAGGAAGTTAAGAAATTTTGTTTTCTTTAGCATTAGCTTAAAAGGTTATTACCTTTTTAAGTATAAAAGTAATATATGTTCATTATAGAAAAATTAAAAAATATAGGATAGCATAAAAATCACTGTAATGTGGACTGCTATTCCACTGATATTGATTGGTGTGTTTTTCTGGGGTTTCAGCCCCTTGGTGTTGGTATAATGGTTGGTGCCCATACCTCATGCTATAGGAGTTGATAAATAATGCTTGAAATCAAGCTTTCCCTAAGTCATTACTTTTAAAAATTCTGATGACCAGAAGTTATTTTTCTATATATCACACCCCCCTTTTAATACTATCTTATGAACATTTTCTTATGAAAATGAGATAGAATGTTTTCTTCTTTAGTGGATCTCCTTGTAGTCTTTGCCTTTTTTCTATAGCCTTTTATCTTTTATTAAAATTTGTAGTTACTCTATTTTGCTCCCTTTTTTGACTTTACAAACTCTCTCACATACACCTCTTATCAGAAACAGAAAAAAGAAAAAGCTTATTGCCTTTTCTAGTTAAGTAGGAAAGCATCCTCACGCTTTTATGAGTGAGAGGGTTGGAATAAACCTTTGGAAAGTGACCTGATTTAAATACACTCCTTAGAACTGGAAGTCCATAGGTGCCTGATAGACTAGAGGTGGCAAAAACACAGTACTGTTGATACTGTTGGTTGGTGAAGGGCATTCTTTTGATTGCTGCCAGAAGTACCTTGCTCTGGTGTCAGCAAGTTTACCAGACTTGGTGTTGCAACTTGACTGCACTCATCTTATTGCCAAGCAAGGATCTAAATCTTATTTAAGCTTAAGTAAATATTTCTAAGTTCCAGATGATTAATATTTTAAAAATCACTTTGAGGTCAGAGAAGCTTCATGAATGACTCTTAAGATGTAAATGCATCAGCAAGTTAATTAGAATGTTTGTATGCATTTGCAGCCCTTTGGGGGAAGGGTAGGGATTCAGTAAAGTTGCAGCTATGTGAAGTTCAGTCCCTAGTCAACCGATTCATTATGAGTAACTTGAAAGATTTTACTTTTGTGGTTTATGGAATTACCCAGATTTTATATTTATACCCAGTTCAGACTCCATTTGTCTTTTTTTTTTTTGAGACAGAGTCTCACTCTGTTGCCCTGGCTAGAGTGCCATGGTGTGAGCCTAGCTCACAGCAACCTCAAACTCCTGGGCTCAAGCAATCCTTCTGCCTCAGCCTCCCAAGTAGCTGGGACTACCGGCATGCACCACTATGCCGGCTAATTTTTTCTATATATTTTTAGGTGGCCAATTAATTCCTTTCTATTTATAGTAGAGACGGGGTCTCGCTCTTGCTCAGGCTGGTTTTGAACTCCTGACCTTGAGTGATCCACCTGCCTCGGCCTCCCAGAGTGCTAGGATTAGAGGTGTGAGCCACCACTCCCAGCCTCCATTTGTCTTTAGTGAATTTAATTAGATGGGGAATATCTGTCCAACTGAGAGTCAAATTCATAGAATGTGATATTAACAGCTTTTATATTTTAATGTGTTTAGAGAAATAAAGTAATGCTTCCTTATCACCTTATTGCAAAATTTGATTTTAATACTTAGCTATATACTTTTCTGCTTTAGTCCTCATCTGACCTCGTGGTCCCAGTTCAAGATTGGTTATTCCAACTGTTTGTACTATAGAGACTCGAGTATACAGATGCCATACTACAGATCATTAAAAACTGAATCTTCCCCCTTCCCTTATTAGCACTAGGTTTGTACAAATCATTTTGGCCCAGTGAGATACACTGTATAATATTTGTCTAGCTTATCTTCCTGATTACACTGAAAGCACCTGCAGGGGAAATACCTATGTTTACTGTTTTTAATCTCAAAGTGAGCATCACAAAATCTTGCAGTTAATGAAAGTTTGAATGGTTTGCCTTCAGAATCTTTGATTCACATATAAACTGGCCATTTTAACATTGAAAAGAGCAGTGGATCTAGGCAATCTGGGCTGACATGTGCTTTAAAGTGTGGTCTTGTACAAGTTCAGATGCATCATGTGACACGTCAGTCATTCTTGTCTAGATTTAAAACCTAAATATGTCATTGTTATCTAACTTAATATTTTTTCTTTTTTTTTGCTGACTGAAAGGGCCACTTTCAGTATAGTTGGTGTTATTCTTACTTTCTTTTTCTTTTTTTTTTTTAATTTTAAAGAGATTTATTCTGAGTCAAATTTGAGGACCATGACCCGGAGCCACTGCCAAGAGGCCTTGGGCAAGTGGACTAGTTGTGGCTGGGTTACAGTTTGGTTTTTATATATTTTAGAGACAAGGGTTATGGGTAAAGCCATCAATCAATATGTGGGAGGCATACATTGTTTTGGCCCAAAAAGGAGGGCCATCTCGAAGCAGGGGCTTACAGGTTATAGTGGGTTTAAAGATTCTTTAGATTGTAATTGGCTAAAGACATGAAGTTTTGTCTAAAGACTTGGAATATTTTAACATAAACATTTTACCAGAGATAAGCCACCATTTGTTGCATAAATTGTGGACCTGCAGGTTTGTCTTGCATACCCTTAGGCCTGTTAATGGGTTACAAAGGAAGTCTCCAAGAAGGGAGGGGGCATGATAAGGCATGTCTGACCTCCCTCTTCCTGGCAGGCAACTTTGCCCTAGAATATTCCTTTGGCCACGAGGGGGTCCATTTAGTTAGCCGGTGGGGGGGGGGGGGGGGGAGCATTTTAGTTCACAGTTCCCCCCTTTTGGCCAAGATCTGTCATAGGCAGCATCTATGGCCAAACTTTTATTTTGTCCCGTCCATTGCCAGGGTGGTGTGGCTACCTGCCCTGGGTCCATCTAGTCCCTCGGTGGGACCCTTGTGGCCAAGAGGACTGAAGAGCCAAACTGGGGCTTATAGCCAATTAAATAAGCCAAACAGAATCAGAGGTAGACAGGCACTCATTAATACTCTAAAATCCTTTGGATGACATAAGAGTAAAATGCAAAATATCAAAGGCAAAGCTACAAAACTGATTTACCTACAAGTATTGAGATATTATATTCTTGGGTTTAGTGGTAGACTTGTAGCAAATATAAGCATCATTAATTAACATTTAAGCTAAGAGAGTTTAGTAATTTATACTAAGGTGGCTGATAAATTACTCATTATGTTTTCTTTTGTATAATCTATAACTGATAAAAATTACACTCAGTAAGTTTTAAGTTTATAAGAAGCAGGAAAAAAAAAAATTTTATGATTGGGATGGATATCTGCAGCATGTGGCCTGAAAAGACAAAGTATTTCATTTAGTATTCCTTTAGGCTTTTGCACATCCCTCTTTTATCTGGAGGGTCTGTTCTTACCTTCTTTACAAGTCAGGGTCTAGGCATTGATGTTATGACAAACATCCACAAGAGGGCAGACAAAACCCCTTTTTCATGTTACTAGGTTTCAAACAATTGTTCAGACACCTTGCTTATGCTCTTGATTATTGTCAAAATCCTTTTTGCTTTTTCTTCAAGGTGGGCAGTATCAAACCGAGAAATGCTTATAGCCCAAAACAGCTCCTTGGAATTTAAGCTACACAGACTGTATTTCATTAGCTTGTTAATGGGAGGAACTACAAATCAGCGAGAGGCATTACAGTATGCTAAAAATTTTCAGCCATTTGCCCTAAATCATCAAAAAGGTGAGTCTGTAGTCAGGTGATTCTAATGTTTAGAACAGGACTGTAGCCACTACTGTAATTTGTTTATCTTAACTAGATTTAATACATATTTGCTAATAAACTGAAACAATTGTAGATGATAACCCACTTGTAGAAAAACTGGCACTAGAACAAAAGTAAAACATTGGGGACTCTTAAATGAGAAGTCAAAAAGAGACGTTGCAGATTCTGGGATTCCATATTAAACTAAAAGGAGATGTGAGGAAGATCGAGGTGTGCACTTGCTCTTTTCCCATCCCTGTCTTACCTTATGCTGCTATTATTGCCATGACAAAGTATTGAGGGCCAGGGTGGCAACATGTGTCAGCGTGGGACTACTGGCTAGCTCTGCAGCCAAAGATGTGGGGTGACATAATTGTTATTCTTCTAGATAATGATAATGTTACTGTGTGTACTGTGGATAACAAAAATATTTTTCATGCTTTCTTTTTCTTCTTCTTTCTCTCCATGGTCTTTCTTTAATTTGGAGTGAGAGAAGAAGCCAAGCTTAAGGACCAGAATTATAAAGGATGTTGTTGATATATTATTTTAGGCTATATCAGTTTGGGCGGGAATATTCTTGCCTTTCTTGGCCTATTATCAGCAGGCAAACTGTAATGCTTTTTTTTTTTTTTTGCTGATGCTTTTTTATTTAGATATTCAGGTTTTGATGGGAAGCCTCGTGTATCTGAGACAAGGGATTGAGAACTCACCGTATGTTCACCTGCTTGATGCAAACCAGTGGGCTGATATCTGTGACATCTTTACACGGGATGCTTGTGCCCTCCTGGGGCTCTCTGTGGAGTCCCCTCTCAGTGTCAGGTATGGATATTGGCCCTGTTTGCTGTTGAAATATGCGCTGCATTAGTCACCTCCCTTTAACTTGTTTAGTTCTTCGTATTTCAAGTCAAGAACACTTTTGTCTTTCTGAAGAAAAATGCAATTGGTATTTCAAGGGATGGTCACAGTTGACAGGTGACACAGTTTTAGGGCAGTGTTCTCAAAGTGGGGTCTGTGAACCTCGGGATCTCAAGAGCCTTTTCTGCAGTGTTGATATTTACACAGATGGTACAGAAACAATGGTGGATTAAACTACTAGGAGCCTTACTTAGCACAAATTGAGGTGGTGGTATCAGTCTCCACAAGTACTTGCTATATTCCTTACCACCACACTTTGAATGTAAGAAATGCCAGTTTTGGCCTGGTGCAGTGGCTCATTCCTATAATCCTAACACTCTTGGAGGCCAGGGTGGGAGGATTACTTGAAGCCAGGTGTGGTGACAGGTGCCTGTTAGTCTCAGCTACTTGGGAGTCTGAGACAGGAGGATGGCTGGAGTCCAGGAATGTGAGGTTGCAGTGAGCTATGATGATGCCACTGCAGTCTAGCTGGGAGACAGAGCAGGACCTCGTCTCCAAAAATAAAACGAAGAAATGCTAATTTTGATTGCACATGGTGGTACGCACCTGTAGTCCCAGCTACTCTTGGCCTCAAGGGATCCTTCTGCCTTGGCCTCTCAGAATGCTAGAATTATAGGTGTGAGCCACCATGCCCAGCCCAACAAATGTATTTTTGTTTCAGAAAGTATAGTTGTTTTTTATAAGAATGTTATTTATGATAACATAGTATGTTTTTTTAAAATGAATTAATACCTTTTAAGTTTCTCAGTTTTATTTTCTAATTTGTTAAATAATGATAGCTTTCGCTCACAAAAACAAAAGCTCATTGAGATCCTTAATATTTAAGCATGTAAAGGGGTCCTAAAACCTAGAAGTTTAAGAACCTGTTTAAATTCTGTTTGGAACAGATGCTAAAAAAAAAAAAAAAAAAAGAACCTGTTTAAAGAAAATAACCTTTAGCTCTTTTATTCATTTAATTCCACAAGTGTTTTGAATCTCTGCTATGTGCCAGGTGCTGTGTGGTTTACAGAGATGAATAAGATACAGTCTGCGTTCCACAGGGTGTTCCACCTAGAGTAGGAGACAGACTCATGCAATTAACTAATGTGAGGCAGTATTGCCATCAGGTTTTTGGGGAAAAGACTCTGAAATGGGTATGTACATGCAGGGAGTTTTTTGAGATCAGCACCTCTGGGGGAATAAATGCAACAGGATTGGACAAAGAGAAAAACAGTCACAACAAAAGTCTCCACCCATCCCTGAGGAGCTCTAGAACTACAATGGACCTGTAGAGTGGTTCCAAATTGGGTCTGCATGGGCTTTTGTATCCTCACATGGAGCAGTCACTGTATGTGACCCTAGTCGGGTGGCTTTCTTCAACTGAGGACAGTCCTGAAGAGGGACTCAGCTGAGAGTTGGCTGCCAGCACTCCCAGATCTGAGAAATGAATGCTTCCATCCTGAACAGGGGTGATTTTGATGTAGGAGGAACCATGCAAGAAAATGTTTAAGGGGCAAAGAATGTCATTAATGACTGCTAAGCAGAGCCCATTAAATGTGGTCATTTTGTAAAATATGAGGACTTCCCGACCCCCACCCTGCCCCCACACTAATGTCAGATTGTTTTGAAATTCTCCAAAAGCTTATTGTCAATTTCCTTTGGACCAAAAATGGTGTTCCAGCATCAATCTGCAGACCACATTTTGGTTGTCACTGCTCTAGTAAACTAGCACATACATTGGAGCAAATTTTGTAAGGAAAATAAACTTAAACATGCTGATATATGTTCTGTAAGGAAGAGAATACAAAAGGATGTAAGGAAGAGAATACAAAAGGATGTAAGGAAGAGAATACAAAAGGATGTTCTGTAAGGAAGAGAATACAAAAGGATGTAACATCTTATATATTGTTGGATGAAGAATTCTGTGTAAGAACATCTCTTTCCCTTTCAAACTCAGATGCTAAAACCACTGTATTTGGAAGAGCAGTTCTTAATTCCTATTTGTCTTTCTTTATTTGAATTGATATGTTTCATGTTTCTTTCTTTTAATGATGGATTCTCCTTTTCAACACTGGATGCCAAAGCTGCTGCTTTTGTATGTTTTTGTATACATTTAACATATATATTTTAAAACTTTATTGTTGTAATTGTCGAGAAATTAAACTAAAATTAAGTACCCTACCGTGTAGATAATGACAGTTTTAGGTAGTATTTTTTTAACACTTGTTTCTTTTTTTTTTTAACTGCATTTTCCCCATATTAGTAAGATTTATTTAGTAAATGTATGGTTTTATTTTTGTTTTTTTCAAACTGGGATTGTTTTTCAGTAACTTCAAGTCTACCAGTGGGCATGGGGAATAGGGGAGGGAAAACAAGTTATTTTTCTTCTAGTAGAAATGTCTGAGTTTGCTTTTAGCAGAGGGGAAGGCTCTATGCCATTTCCAGTAGCCAGGACTCTGAGCACATGAGGAATTGCTGTCTCCTTGGACCAAGTGGCCTGACATCTAGCCTGGCACTGATGTGTCCTATTCTGCTTTCCCAGTTTCTCAGCAGGTTGTGTGGCGTTGCCAGCTTTAATTAACATCAAAGCGGTGATTGAACAGAGGCAGTGCACTGGAGTTTGGAACCAGAAAGATGAATTACCTGTGAGTACCATTTTCTATTGGCTATTTACCCTTCTGGCCTTTAGAAGAATGTGGATGTTAAGGGTTTTAAAATGTCCACCATCTCGCCTTTATTGTAGGAAACATTGTAGCCATTTGACAGGAGTTTTTTGGTGAATATATAGACATGATTAAACAATAGAAATGAAGAACCTAGTACATTTTGGGAGCATTTGAGGAGTATTCTTATAATTTTGACTTAAAGTGGCATTGAAAGCTGATGAAGAAAAACATCAGAACTGGGGAAGAGGATATTATATATTGTAGCATGCAGTGTGTTCTGCGGTGCAGTTCACAAACCATTCCTACTATGATTTTTAAAAATATAAAAGCAATATCAATGTAATCGGATTTAGTTTTATCTTAAGCATTGGTGTTGATGAGATCATAGGTTTGTGTTGGTTATATTTTTCTAATACCAATTAAATAAGTACAGGTACATTAAAATAAAGGTCTCTATAACACCCACAGTCATCAGTGGACCCTCCAGGGCTGTGTGTCCACAGGGCCCTCACACTTGCCAACTCTACCTTCTCTAAGCAGTAGTTTGTTCATCTCTAAAATAGGGACCAGCCTTCTCTTTATGGGGCTGCTAAAGGCTAGAGAGAAGATCATCATACTTAGAATAATTTGGGACACACAGTAATTACTCAAATTGTGGCTGCCATGGTACAGTTATGACGTGGAGTGGCAAAGATATGTGTTGTGCTGCCAAGCCTCTGCCAGTAGTCACTAAGACTCTTGCCTGGAATTTTATTCTTGTCATGGTTGTGTCATAGACCCTGAATGGCTAAAATAAGCTTTTGGCTTCTTTTCTGCCATATCTATGCATGGGTTTATCTGCAGGTATCACCTTGTTCTCCAGCTGGTAACCCTGTCAGTTGGTTGACCCAGTTTCTTCTCAAAGATCTTTTCTGCTCAAAGGCACAGGTGTACTCCCAGTCCTGAGTGTGGTCAGGACACAACCAGCACCCCTTCTCCACTGCTGCTCGTTTGATCAAGCGAAAAGAAACTTGAGCCTTTACTTGATTTGCTGAAGCAGGTGCCCAGCATCTGTCAGTTTCCCAGTTATGTTGTAAGAGTCTCTGACAGTTGCATACTGGAACAGAGAAGACTGAAATCTGAATTTGCTTAGAGCTTGTGGGTCAAGCTAGTAAAATAGCTGAAGGTGGTGATCTGACCATTTGTCAGGATTGTTCTGTTACACTTCCTCGACTTTGTTGAAAGAGCCTGGGGTAATGGGCTTTCATATTGGTAGCCATTTTGGATTTAGAAGGAAAAAAACCCAGAACTGACATTTGTGGAGCCTCTGCATATGCCACCCACTCTTAGCTTTCATATGATTTGTTTTGTCTGCAGCAAAGAGAACAATTGATACAAGTGCCATGGGCTTTGATGTACAGATTACAAAAGGTCCTGTTGAAACTTGGCTTAAAGCCCTGTTAAACAGGTGGTCTCTGGGCCATTACACACAAAACATGGGAAACTCAGATCTGAAGCACACAGAGGAATAAACAATGTTTAGTCTGCCTTTAAAGGAGTCACTAAACTGAGTTTTATCACCCAGCTAAGTGTGTTACAGAGTAGTCTAGTTACAGAAGTCAATCAAGTTTTTCACTTCCAGAATATCACCTTGATTTTGACTCTTAACTCTAGACTTAAGAATTTAGTTTGAAAATTAGTGTTACAAATAATTTTGAAGGCTAATTTAACCGTTTGAATCCCTAAGACTATCCATGTTTGAGTTAGTTAGAAGAGTGCTGTAGAAAATTAAATTCAAATGTGTAGATCTGATAAGTGTTCTTCGCTGCACAGTGCATGTTATCATGTGGATGGCTTTCTGAAATATAACTTTAGCCTTTTTACTTTTTTTTAAAACAGATTGAAGTGGACCTTGGTAAAAAGTGTTGGTATCACTCTATATTTGCCTGTCCCATTCTTCGTCAGCAAACAACAGATAACAATCCACCCATGAAATTGGTCTGTGGTCATATTATATCAAGAGATGCCCTGAATAAAATGTTTAATGGTAGCAAGTAAGTTTCTGACTTTTATGTATCAGTAAATATATTTGATTTTGGTACTTGATGGGAAGATAAGAAATAATGAGCTTAAGTAAATGTATCTAGATTTAGAAATAAATTTCTTAACTATTCATTTGGCAAATAGGTGGTATCTGATCTTTTATCAGTTGTTTTAATTTGTTTGTGGATTTGGTGATTGGGTTTATAAACATGATCTTTCATTCTTAACTTTTTGAGTAGGTGATACATTTTGCCCCCTTTATACGTATGGTAGCATACTATAAATTGTTCTGTACTTTGCTGTGTTTTCACTTAGTGATATATCTTGAAGATTTTTTTATATGCTGCAAAAAGAGCCCTCCTTCTTTTTATGTTAAAACTGCAGAGTATTCCGCCATATGGAAGTATGATTATTTAGCTAGTTCCCTATTGATGAACATTTAAGTTGTTGTTACTCCAGTGCTAATATAAATTATTTTCTCCATGATAAATTCCTAGAATTGGAATTGCTGATATAAAGGGTATATATATTTGTAATTTCTTTAGAGAATGAGCTCAACTTAAAAAAAAAAGTCTCAGAAGCCCATTTCTAGCTTAGGGAGCTAGAAATTTTTTCGCTGGTGTTCATTTCAGATTCTTTTATGGTAAGATCCTTCTTTTAAAGGGAAGGCCTTGGCTTGTAAAGAAGCGATTTGTGCCCTTCACAGGCCATGCTGCAACCGCCCTGGTAGTGCAGATCAATGGTGACTAGGAGAGCCAGCTAGATTGTTGATCTTAATGCAGACTCTGCTGATATCATGTGCCACTGTGAGGAAAATGGGCCATTCTTAGTGTGGGCTTGCAGCTGGCATCAGATTTGCTGCCCATGAATGGATTATGTGATTGGTACATTTGAAATTAATTTAGAGACCAGTGCAGCCTAAACCTTTGGGGAAAAGAAATTTTTAGATTTACTTCTGAAACCCCAAAAGTAATTTTCAAAAAAGTTGTCCTTGTTTTGCTTATAAAATAATTTTCACTGATTTCCACTGAATAAGAGGCTCTGGCATGGGTGGTATTCATTTGTGACTCTGCGAAGCTTAGTTAATATTAAGGGAAAGCATAGTTAATCCTCAAAGCAAACTGCAATCAGATATGTTGTACTTATGTGTTTCAATATGTGTGTATAATTGTTAAAGAGGTGGTAACTAGATGAAAACTGAATGTTCAGTACTGATCCTGTTTCCTTGATGCAATGTTTTCTTTCTTGTCTTTAGATTAAAATGTCCATATTGTCCAATGGAACAAAGTCCAGGAGATGCCAAACAGATATTTTTCTGAAGAAGTAACTTTAGTTTGCAATTTGTAAGTGAAACTGAATTATGGGCACATTTCAGAAGAGAACGTTCCATTTAATGCAGCTAACCAAGGACTCCCGTGTTTATATAAGCTAATGCTCCAGAAACTTTGCCAACATATTAGTGTACACACACTGAGGGGAGTGCTCCAGATGAATATTATCATAGGGCTTTATTATATTCTTGGTCTTCATTTCTGATCAAGTAAATACACCAGCAGTTGTCATTCAATGCAGGTTTTTGTACTTAATTATATGGTGATTTTTTTACTTTTTAAGAGCAGAAACAGAAATTGACCTCCTCGCCATGTGTTTAATATTTCTCCTGCTTTTACTTTTGTCATTTTCTTGATAACTGTAAGCCTTGAGAGTGTTTGTGAAAAAGTTTTATTTCCTGTTATGTATACATAATTAAATGAAAATTCTTCAGAAAAAGTTTGATAAATTGAATTGTGGTTGTAAAACTAATTTACTTTTTTTTTTGCTTAAGGAAGAAAGCTGTGATAGATTCCAAATTTGCTTTTTGATGTTTCCCTCTGCTCCTCCTCCAAGAAGTCAGCACACCTGCATTTGAGCTCTGCTTGTAGCCCCAGCAGGCTGCCTGTTTAAAATTTCATCATTTAGCAGGCTGGTGTGAGAAGTCTTCCATTAGAATAGAGTGGAAAGGAGTACTATTGTTTTTTTGCTTTTATTGCCAAGAGGTGCTTGTTTTAAAAAGTTTGTTCAATAAAATGAAATTCTGAAGTTAGAAGTGTTCTTAAGTTGATATTTGCTCTCTTGGTCTTGGTAGCCCTATTCTCTGAAATCTGCCTTCAGGACTTGGCTATCTATTGCATTTGTATATCATTGCAGACACAGTGTTGTGCGTGTGTGTATATATGTGCACCAGCATCGAACATTGTGTATCTAGAAGGGAAGAAGCATGTTTCAGTCCTAAAATACAGTTACCAGACCCATCATTTTAAATCCTTAAAGTTAGAAGCTAGTATATTTTCTATAGTGCAGAATATGTTTATTGCTGTTTTGTGTTTGAATAGTATACTGTTCAATGCCTCTCTTCTGCAACGTGTATCATCTCATTGACTGTGAATCTGTATATTATTCTAATGGATACAGATAATAATCTTTTCTCTTATGAGGTAGCTTCATTTAATGCACTGTCCAGAAATAGCCATGTGTAAGGGTCTTTCTCTGTATGATGAACTACATGGAAAAGACTTCTATGGACATAATTCTGACTTAAACTCATGAAGTTACTTCATTATGAGAAGAATGTTATTTGGAAATCACCAAATATTTTACAACTTTATTTCATCTGACATGGAACTGAACATCAATATAGGAATACTTTCATGAGAAAATGAAAAAAGAAGAAAACAGAAGCAAAGAGAAATGTGGCACTTCACATTTTCTTATGGACTTAGTTTGAGGGAGGAGGGACAGATTTGGTGCTAATTGGAAGTTGGCAACATTTGCAGTAGTACATCAACCTGGATGGTTTATTCTGAGATGTTTACTTGGGAAAGCTAGAATTTGTTTATGAAGGAAAAGGGTACTGCAGAAAAGCCCTGCTTAATTACCATGTGGTCAGGCTTGTGTAGATGGCTACTATGTGCTCTGTGGGGTTAGCCAGGAATTGTGATTGGCCTGGCTCAGTGCTTGCCTTGTCCAACCTCATCTGGCCCCACAGCGAATTTCACCCCATGATTCTGCTTCACTGTTGGAATCCTCTGTAAAGTTCCCCCTCTCTCCACTAGAGCCGTGAAGGAAGAGAGCGGAGCAGAGACAGGCTCCTTGGACTGCAAAAGAGAAGGTAGAAAATCCAGGCAACACTCTGGTCAAGAGTGTAAACTGGTTTATTATATATGTATTTTTTCCTTTCAATTAAAACCTAGAGTGTCATTTTAATTTTTTTAAAACCTTTTTCTCCCTAGGCCAAGTTTAGCTTTATTCAGAACTTATTCTCACCTTTCCACCCCAAACACCTATACAGCATTTAGACTTCACCAAGAATTGAATGATAAAGATATGCTCTAGAGGTTGGTGATAAATATTTTTGGTAGCCAGACACTTCACACAGTTGGCTCAGGCCACTTTTAAGGACAAAGGACAGAGCTTGTTTCGTCCCTTTCCCAGTGTTGGGAGTCCTACTGATAGTTTTCTGTGCAGCTCATGAAAACTTTACAAAGATCATGCTTTAACTGAAGCATTTGACTTTACAGCTTTCTTTGTAAGATCCTTGTACTCCTACTGGGCAGGGTGAGGGTCAAAAATTTGAAACTCTATTGGTCTGACAGTTTAACATGAAAATTTATGTCTTGTGACCTTCTTTAAGTGCATGGACTTAAAATTCATTGGAGACTAAATGTGAAGGGGAGAGGTGGATTTGAAGAGGCCAGATCTTAACCAAAGATGCTAAAGTACAGCATTCTGTCCTTCCTACTCTAGAAACACCTTCACCAATGGTGTTTTGACCATATCATCGCTCATGCTATCTGCATTTCAGCAGTGCAGGAGGATGCTATTTGTCTTTCTCTGCCTCCACTTGCAAAAGGTTATGGATGGTAGAGGCAAGGTTTTTTTATAGTCAGACTAATTATAATAATGTACATTGAAAACAATTCAGAATGGTTTCTTAAATTTCTTTGGGAACCATTTCCATTTATCAGTTGTGGACGGAGGCCATGGAACTATGCTAAACCAATAAAACCTTATTATCAAATCTTTAGCCAGAGCATCTGTGTTTTCAGGTACAGTCTTTACAATGGCTAAGGTTGTCTTTTGATCTTTTTTCTCCCTGTGTAATCATTGCAGATGCCATTTCTGTTGTTTTATTGGTGATTATATGAGACTTCTAATACGTAAATGAACGGGTATTGGTGCCTCTTTGTTTTAAAAATTTTGAAGAAAAGAGCCACCTCATATTCATAGGGTGTGTATTTTGTGAGTGTGTAGCATTTAATTGAAATTAAGAAAGTTATGAAATAAATCTTTTGTTTTAACTTTTCTGTAGCAGCTAATGTATACAGAGACACTAAAACCCACACCACATTTTGTGGGGAATGAGGATCCTTTTTTATCTCTCCAGGTGGTCCCACAGGTTATACAGTTTAAATTCAGTATTCTTTATGCTGTGAGTTATTTCAGCCTCATTGGTTTCAGCCTTTGGGACAGTGGATATTGTAAAAACCAAGAGCTCTTGGTTATCGCACAAGACAAGCTGCTGGTAGACTACATTAGCCCTCTGGTTTTCCAGCTCAACCTCTGATCAAGTGGACTGACAGCCATGTTGGCCAGTCTGTTTAGTCAGCTGACTCAGGTTATTTTCAGGGAAGGCATGGAGGCATAATGGTTTGTTTAGTTTCATCACTAAGATGTGTAAGGTGACAACACAAACCAAATACCTTTCATTACTTAACTCTACATACATTATCTTTGGTAACACTAGAATGCTATGGTCTTGAGGAAACGTTAGTAAGGAACACACAGAGAAGGTTGGTGTTTTGTAAGCCTGTCCAACTATGGCAGGTTTTTTATGGTACAATAGTGTTTACTGTAAGCAGATACACACTTCATGAACTGTTCTTAATGAACTACAATTGAATAAATACCAAAAATAGAATGACAAATGCATTTTAATAACAGATGAGACAATTAGTTTTAGGGTGAATTTTCCGCTGTTTGATTTTACTTCAAGACGTAGTGAGAGAAACAAAAGTTTTTTTTTCAAGACATTTCCGCTACAGTTTTAAACTGTACGGGGCATATGCTTCATTTACTTCCAAAGAGGCAAAAGCAGCTGGAATTGGCTTACAGCACATGCTTTGTTTCATGTTAGGGGTGAGGACCTACACTCTTATTTAGCAGTCACTTAACCTTCTTCAGTAAGGCAGATGTGGGGTTCACTAGGATTTAGTGCCTGATATTTTCTTTTGGGAAGGGGTGGGAGTGAATGTATTTGGGCTGGGAGGGAAGCAGAAGAAAATGGGAGCGTGAGTGAGTGTGCATGTGTCTGAAATTCACTATTTGCCCCACCTGTACCTAACAAGGAGCAGGTGATAGATGTATTTTGCTCATGACTGCAGTGTGCATGTATTTTTTTTCCTCCTTTGTGTTTTCTAAACTTACACTAAAAGGATTCATCAAATCATCTTGTTCAGATGTCTCAGGATTGTATTTCTTTTGCTTACCCTGTACTCTTGGGTTCTATAGTATTTCTATAATTATGTAACAAGAATAGTGTTGCACTGTAATCTATCATATAGAGCTATATGTATGGAAAATTTTGATCAGTTTTTTAAGAAATGTATCCTGTTTGCAAAGGCACAATAAAGTTGCATCTTATAGACTATAGGCAATAAAGCTAACAATAAACCTTATTTAACACAAACCCTATTCATATTCTCTGTTCATTTGACTTTTGAAAAAATCTAGCATATTCAGTAGTTTCAGGGATTTCATTTTAACTTTTAAAATTCTGATATATTTAATTTATATATATTTCAGGCTGAAATAGTAGAGTTTTGGAAAACTATAAGAAATGCTTTGTTAATATGTGTACTCCTATGTAAAAACACATGGCTTCTCCTGTGTATATTTTTAAAGATTAAAGAAATGCACATTGTAAAAGTGTTTTGTGGAACCGGTCTGTATAAATGTGCCAGGTGACAAAGGTATGAGGGAGGGAGTATGGATGGAGGTGCCAATTGTGAAAAGAGAAAATTGCTGTTTGTATTTGCTAAGGATCTACCTGTAAAGAATTTTAAGAAAATGCCTTTGTCACCATTTTATTCTGTTACACTGTGCCAGCAACAATGTGAGAAGAGGAGGTGGCTTAGCACGATCCCGGGTTTCCGAGTCAGGGGTTGTGTTAGTGTTTCTGGGCGGGTGCCCCCTCGGGCCCATTTTGTGCACAGCCAGGCCCCTTACCTGTGCTCTGACCAGAGTGGTAGTGAGTTTATGATTGGCAGGAAGGGCTGCAAATCAGGCTGCTGGTGGGGTGGGGCATGTGCACTCAGCATTTCCAGGGAGAAACAGGCTGAATTGCCTATCCTACTCAATGACAAGTGGTGGTAGGGACCAAGAATTTATTTATGCTCCTTTTGTATATAGTTTCAGAGAGAAACTTGGTCTTATCTGAGATTTTAGAATGTTTCCTGCCTGTGGAAACCTAGAAGAGGCCTGGCACCACCTTTTCCTGCAGCAAAGTGTGATCCATAAGTCAGCAGCATCAATATCATGTGGGAGTTTGTGAGAAATGCAGAATCTCAGGCCTGAGCACAGACCTACTTAATCAAAATCTGTATGGTCATGAGAGAACTGGCTTCCCTTACAAGGAGCCTCATAGAGCCTCCATATTTTATGAGGTATCCTCCCTCTTAAATGTGGCAGGTAGAGATCACACATACTGATCAGAATTTATCCTAAGTCCTGAGTCATCAAGAACAGTTAAATTTAGTGTGCTTTGTACTGTTTTAGTTATTTTTAAAAATCAGTGTATTTCTTTAAGCATCGAGCTAATTGAGGGAATGTTGTATTCCCAGCATGGTAAAATGCATTTCCACCCCCCTCCGCAATAAAATGGAAAGGTGAACACCAAACATGTAAAATAATGGATTTTTGTAATGGCAAAATAAGGACTAAAAATGTACCTTTAAACAAAACTGTAGCTTGATGTCTCTCATCCTCCCCAGTAGAGAAACTTGATACTACATAATATTCCAGCAAGCAGAAGACAGGCTTTCCTAACTTTCTCTTTCCCCTTCAGCACCCAGTAAGAAATAAGTTTAATACCATAACCTTGTATACATGAAGTTACAGTACTGAAACAAGTTTTTAAAAAACTATGCTTACAAATGTATGATACACTCTATTTTTAATTCTCATCAAGACAGTAATGGGTCAGTTTTATAAACCTTGCGTGAAAAGACAATAATGCAATGATCCACCTGTTCACGAAACCACTTGAAATCTCAATGCACGTATGACACATGTATGATGGAAAGTACTCCCACACACATGCACAGACACACAAACTTGCCGGGTGGCTGAGGAATTTCATACACTCATGAGTCTTCTTTGCTACTCAGTGTTGCAATATATCTAAATGTTAGAAGTCTTGTATAATCAAGAGCTATTGATTACTGAGTTACCTATACTTCCTTCCAGCTTAGAAAAGTGCAAAGTGCTTCTTGATAAATATTGGCTAGTTTAATAACTTAAACAGATGTGTACAAGTTAAGTGCAGAAAATATTTAACATGTGGTATGGCATCTTCAGTCAGTCATGCGATTTTTTTTTTAAATACCTGCTTTGTGCCAGGAATGGAGATAAAACTGCTTATGGACTGCTGCTAGAAAAGTAGAGACGAAGTCGTATGGTGAGATTGATAACACCAGGGGTGATGGAAGGGAAGAGAAGTAAAGCTGCACTGGTGTATTGTAAGGCCCACTCTGGCTACCGTGGGATGAAGAGTGGGTGGGGAGGGAACAAGGCTTAGAGCCAAGGGGGCCAGTACAGTAGTTAGTGAAGGTCAGTGTATTTGTTTAGCATTGATCTCGTGTACCTTTGGAGGTTCTGGGGATGGAGAGTTGAACAAGGCTGAGTTGGTCTCTAAGTGAGGATCGAGGTAACGTCTGAGAGTAAGAAATGTTGTGAAGAAAGGCAATGTGCTTGTTGTCACACAGCTTCCCAAACTCTTGCTATTCAAACAGAAGCATTAAGGTGTTCTTGTCTCTCAAGTGATAGCAGGCTGCCTTGCTTTAGTGCTTTAAAATGTGTTCCTATTGTCTACATTTTCTAGGTGGGTGAATTTCTAACTTCACCACAGTCTCATTATATTGGTCTCCTACACTATGTGAATTGTATAAAACTGCCAATTTCCACTCGGCATTGGCCTTTTTATTCCCTTCAAAGACATTCTGTCACCACAAGTGTTATCATGCAAGTGAAGGATACTGGTGTTTGTCATTCTTGCTCTGAAGTAGAAATGTTTCTTAAAAGGACATGTCATTAGCATTTAAGACTAAGCTTTCCCCCGAATAGATTAAAAGTGCATTTTAGATTGTCTTTCTTAAGCACAAAACCATGTTGCTTTTATTCAGATTAGTGAGCTAATCTACCCTAAAGAGGAATTTCAAAGGAAATTATTAAATTGTCTTAAAGCTTTCAGAGACGGTTCAGAAAATTTGGGGCTGAGGGCCTTTGTTTTTCCGTGTGTACCAATTATTTTTATTTTTATTTTTTTTGAGACAGAGTCTCGCTTTGGTGCCCAAGCTAGAGTGAGTGCTGTGGCGTCAGCCTAGCTCACAGCAACCTCAAACTCCTGGGCTCAAGCAATCCTCCTGCCTCAGCCTCCCGAGTAGCTGGGACTACAGGCATGTGCCACTATGCCCGGCTAATTTTTTCTATAGATATTAGTTGGCCAATTAATTTCTTTCTATTTATAGTAGAGACGGGGTCTCACTCTTACTCAGGCTGGTTTCGGACTCCTGACCCTGAGCAATCTGCCCACCTCGGCCTCACGGAGTGCTATGATTACAGGTGTGAGCCACCGCACCCGGCCTGTACCAGTTATTAATAGAACAAAGCTTAGTGGCATGTGTGGAATAGGCAGTTTAGGGTTCGTATGGTGGCTTCATGGCCATCAGGGTCCCAGACTCCCATCTTCCACAGCCTTAAATATGTCACCTCAGATTCACTTTTGTCTAATCATAACTGTGCTCCATGCATTAAGAGGGAGGAAGTCACTGGGAAAAGAGCAAGCCTCCAAATTGAGTTAGCCCCATCAGGAGCCTTTCCAGAAAGCTCCACTGGATGACTCGTCTTTGTGGCTGCAGGGTGGTCTGGAAATGTAGTCTTTTAGTTGGGCATGTTGCCACCTGGAATAAAATGAGGGTTCTGTTAGTAAGGGAGAAGGGGAGAACAGTTGTTAGGGAAACAACTTGTACTCTCTGCTACATTTAACTAAGCATTCAACTGGGAAACAAAGATGAAGTTGAATTCACATAATAGAATTAAGCTACCAACATCCAGAGATGATGCAGCCTTTCACCTGCCCTGAGATAATAGACAAATGAAGAGTTAGCTATCACTGAAATACCTCCTTGAGCTGTGTTTCTTGGACCCTGGTCATATTCAAGTGTTAGAAGCGAGACCGTCACCTTTGGAGAGCACCTCTGCTTGACTCTTGTTCTACAACATGCTCCTCCTCGTTTCATTTCAAAGCAGGTAGTCACTTTTGTTTTCTCTTAGACCGCATAAGTAAAAAAAGTACCTTTGTTTTGAGTTGCCTATTGATTTTTAGAGTTATAAAATGTTTCATTCACCTGATTTTATAATTAAAAACAGGACTATAACATACATATTCAGGATAGGAGAGCAGTGAAGGACTTGGGCTATAGGATTTGATCTGGGTTCAAATCCTGATCCCATAATCCCACCAGATTCTGTGTGTGTGATGGATGATCTTAGGCAAGTGATGGAAATTTCCTATGCCTTTTTTCCCTCATCTATAAAGTATAATGATAATAGTTCCTGCCTCATAGTTGTTTTTGTTTTGTTTTGTTTTTGAGACAGAGTCTCACTCTGTTGCCCTGGCTAAAGTGCTGTGGCGTCAGCCTAGCTCACAGCAACCTCAAACTCCTGGGCTCAAGCAATCCTTCTGCCTCAGCCTCCCAAGTAGCTGGGACTACAGGCATGTGCCACCATGCCCGGCTAATTTTTTCTGTATACTTTTAGTTGGCCAATTAATTCCTCTCTATTTTTAGTAGAGACGGGGGTCTTGCTCTTGCTTAGAGCTGGTTTTGAACTCCTGACCTTGAGTGATCCTCCCGCCTTGGCTTCCCAGAGTGCTAGGATTACAGGTGTGAGCCACCACGCCTGGCCTTCTGCCTCATAGTTTTAATGAGACCTAAAAGAGATGCTGACCCATGGTGAATGCTAAATAGCAGGTAGCTTTTATTAGGTCAATCAAAAGACAAATGACATTTCCATTCTTCAGTCAGCTAAAGGGGAACAGGAAAAGGAGAATTGGTAGCTGACTTGCAGAGGCGAGATATGTCTGAAGGGATGTGGGGGGGGCTTCAGTAGGTGCTGAGATGGCAGAATGACTCAGAACATTCTTTTCCAACTCTGCCCAGTCTTCGCCAGCTGCCCAGAACATCCTGGTGGAATGGATAGCCATAGCCATCAACAGCAGAGCAGGTGGTGGCACTCAGGATTTGAGGCAGCTGAGGGGAACTTCAAAGGACACAGTGCTGTCAGGGGTGGCGTCTGGGACTGAGCTTTTGTGAAACACATGAAGGATCACCCTCCTGTGCACTGGGGTGCTGAGATCTCTGGGTGTGTATAACAACATCCATCCATCAGGAAGGATTACTGTCTACCCTTTTTGGGGGGAATAGAAATGGGAAGAATCAGACACATGGCTGCATTCAGAGTGTAATCAATATGACCCAATTTTGAAAAATGCAGTACAGAGTTCATTCTTTCAGCATACATTTATTGTTTGTTTACCATGTTCCAGGAGCTGCTCTAGGCAATTAAAAAATATGTATAAACTCATTGTCATGGTCTCTTCAAGGTAGGGACTGTTACTGATATTACCTCCATTTTACGAGTGGGGAAACTTGAGTTATCAAGACATTAAGTTATTTGCCAGAGAACACACAGTTAATAAGTTGCAGAGCCAGGAGATTGATTTAGAGTCTCTGTATTTAGCCACTATGCTATTGTGGCCTCCTTTTGTTCTCTCTGGTGCTTTTAGGAGCAGGTTAGGTGGTACCTGCCCCAGATAGTCATAAAACTGTGTGCAGAGAGGATTCGCACACAGGCCCAGGGCAGGAGGGAGGGGAAGCTTCAGCTGGTAGAAAAGGGAGACTTCTTGGCCTGCTGGTGAAGATTCACAGGGGATTTCCAAGTGGGCTTTCTTAGAAGCAGTTTAACAGCAGGAGAAGGAAATAACAATTTTCTCTCTCTGGCTTTTTTCTTATACAAATAGGATATGTTTTTGTTAAATAAATGAATGTTTGTTAAATGGACTACATTGAGGCTAGATTCCAACCTGCCAATACCAAGTTTACACAGTATAATAAAGGAATCATTTCTCTACTTACTGTTTTTGAGTAAAAAAAAATGTGGACATCTTCCACATAAAAGATTTTTAGAATTAATGCTTCAGGCTAGCCAATTGGCAAATGAAATTTTATTGGGCCTGAGGCTTGCAGCTTCGAATTGTGGGGTGCTCCTATATGTGCAGTACAAACCGGTTGCATGCTGTGGTCACCAGTGAACCCTATGCCTAAATCCACACCCTGAGTGTGCTTTAGGCCTACACAGGAGGGGCATAGGAAATTTCTCAGATTTCTCTTCTGCTTTCCCATACACAGTTCGTTGTCTTGCTTTCTGTTCTCTAAAAGTACCTTAGTTTTATAAATTAAAGTAGTGGAAGGCAGGCTTCTGGAGGGCTGACAAACTTCTGTTTTTCACATGCTGGTTATATGGGAATGTTTGCTTTCTGGTGCCATCGAGCTGTACACTTAGCGACTTGTGCACTTTTCAGTATGTATATTTTACTTCAACAAGATGAAGAGTTTGTGACTTATTATGAGAGAAGTATAATCTCATCTGTTACCAAGAAGGAACAAAAGGAAGGAAGGTGATGCAGGAAGAAGCTAATTGTTTTGGTTAATGTGAAAATGGGTCCAGGGCAAAGGTGAGGACTGGCCCAATCATTTCACTTTTCGGTATCTATCCTAAAGAAACAAAGACGTGTGCAAAATTTTGGTAGTGTTATTAGAGTGGTGAAAAGTTGGAAACAAATGCCAGGTAATAGTTAAATAAGTGATGGCACAACCAAAAAAGGAATGCGATTTAGCCATTAAAAAGGATGCTATAAATGTTTATTCATTAAAGCCACATATATATTCATTAAAGCCACATATAAAAGCATACGACAATCCCATTTTAAAAAACAAGACACCTATTTTATATATATATAGGCATAGAAAATACCCAGGAAGAATGGACACTATAATATTAATAGTGGATTATACCTGAGGTAAAGAAAGAATTATAGGCGATTCTTATTGCCTTATCTACGTAAGTTTTTTTCTCTTAACAAGCAGGTGTCGCTTGTGCAATACTGTAAGAGAGGAAATGTGCACTGGGAGCAGCAGTTGTGGCTTTTGGCCTCCTCACGAGAGCCTGGTCTGCCTCATTCCCACACCTGGTTGAGCAGAGGCCACAGCTGGGCCGGCAGCTCCCTAACAATTCTATCTTTACAAAACGTAAAAAGTCATCCGTGATCCCAGGAGCATGTTCAAATCTGGTATCTCAAATTTAGAGGTCCAGGAGGAGGGCTGTGTTCGGCTTTACTGATGCTCAAGTTGTATTTGTGAAGGGGTGGCCTCTCCTCTTTCACAAGTCCCTCTGCAGCGCAAGGCCTGGGAGGGCAATCTTGCCTCCAGGGAGGGGTTCCACAAGCTTTCCTTTAGAGGTGGAGGGATTCACTTTCCAGGATTCCGTTCAGCCCTACACTTCATTTTAGGAATTCGTACTTTCTATACAATTTCACTCTTGATTATGAAAAGGTCTGATGTTGTTCATCTACATTACAGACCTCTGCCAAAGGCAGACGTTTTCTTGTTTTATTTCATTACCTCAAGGCTCTGGGTACAGTAATGGGTATATCATAGGTGCTCAAGAAATACTTGTTCCTTTGCGGATTGAGACTCCTCCCCACTCCCCACCCTCCACCCCCGACCCCAGCCTCTCAACAGAGGCCTCAGGAAGAAAGACCTGCATGGTGTGGAGGAAAGAGCCCTGAGCTGGGAGGTAAGGTTCCTCTGGCTCCAACCTTGACTTGCCGTGTGACTGTGACCAAGCTGCTCCCATCGCTGGTCTTTAGCCTCCTCCTTTGTGAAATGGGCGGGGAAGAGGTTCCTCCAGCGCTGTCAGCACGAGTCTGAGAACACAGCTCTCCGGTCTGGCCTGCCCCTTTCCGCCCTTTACCCCGATATGTGTGCACAACGCTATTATGACCCTTGCGGTGCACCGTAGATGTTACATGGTTTTGTTTTGCATCAGACACATAAAGAAAAAGCAACCCTTCTCACCCCACCCCCACTACAGTAATAATCATGAGAATTAATACATAAGGAAAACTGGAAAAAAATTAAAGGGAAAGACGTGCTCCCTTCATAAGGTGAAATCTCAGTTGGAAGTCATGTAGTGGCTGTCGCACAGGGTTAGACATATCTCTCTGCAGGGCTTGGCTTGCCTCCTGGCCTGACCAAGGGCCTGAAAGAGAAGCAGGCAACGGTAGACGCAGTGAGGGCCCTTCCATCCCCTCTGTGCAGCATCTCTCCGTGTCTATCCCCAACCCCCAGACCCCTTAGAAGGGTCTGAGAACCTGTCCCTGGGGCACCAGCATGGGACTGAGTCAGTGACCTCAACCCTGCTGAGGACCTTCCTGGTTTGATCATCACAGCAACCTTAGCAGGTAGGCACTGGGCTTGAGAGGTTAGAGAACTTGCCCAAGGTCACACAACTAGGTGACTGAGCCAGGATCTGAACAGAGTCAGTCTAGCTGCTTGGAGCCTTTATTGAGGTCCTCCTGGAGGTGAGAGAATGAGACTGGTAAGTCACTGGCTGACCTGATTCTCAGCCTTGGAGGATCACAGGGAGAAAGGAGGATGAGAGCAAATCACCACTGTCAACCAAGTAGAGCTGCTCTGTCTACGACTCTTTGAAAACACAAATGTGATGCTATGCTAAAAATGTGCGTGTCAGTTCAGTACTGGGCTAAGACCTCCTAAACGGGCTAATTCATCATGAGTGGCATGTCTGCACTCAGTCCTCCAAAACCTTTGTGCTGAAGCTGAGCTGCCTGCCATGATCAGTGAGTATATTAACTCCCAGGTGTGTGAATTCCTCAGAGGTGTTTAACCTGCAAAGCTTTGTATTTTAAGGCAAGGTTTTATTCTCAGTTATTCATCTCAAAATGAGAGTTTTTCAGAAAACATAGAGATAAGAGATGATTCTCTTGCAAAAACTCCCAATTGTATCCCAGGTAATGAAAATGCTAAAAATCTCTATTATTTATCTATTTATTATTTTTGAGACAAGAGTCTCACTCTGTTGCCCCGGGTAGAGTGCAGTGGTGTCATCATAGCTCACAGCAAACTCCAACTTCTGGGCTCAAGTAATACTCCTGCCTCAGCCCCTCGAGTAGCTGGAACTACAGGCACACGCCACCACGCCAGCCAATTTTTTCTATTTTTTGTGGAGATAGGGTCTTACTCAGGCTGGTGTCAAACTCCTGAGCTCAAGTGATTTTCCCACCTCGGCCTCCCAGAGTGCTAGGATTATAGACATGAGCCACCGTACCTGGCCCTTTTCTATTTTCAAAGAGTCTTTATCCCCTTGGTATAGCAACTATAATATAATGCAAACCTCAGATACACAATTTGAAATATTTTCATCTACTGAAAGGGCATGGTGCATATACTTGGTTATCTTTAACACCCTCACCCCAGCCCCTGGCCATAGGAAGGAACCTGAGCTTTGGATGGAAGTTGCAGCTCTGCTACTTGCTAGCAGTATGGCCCTGGACAAATCACTAAATGTCCTAAGCTTCAGTTTGCTTATCTGTAAAATGGAGATCATAATAATTTTTTACATGTTGTTATGAAACTTGAAATTAACACAATATATGTATATATAAAGCAAGTAACTGGTACACTGTAGACTTTCACTAAATGGTTATTTATTATTGATAATCTGAGTGTAATTGTGCCTTTGCCACCTTAGGTAGGTTTTCTAATTTCTGAGCCTGTGTTACTATCTGACACACTAGGTTGCTGTGAGGATTAAGAGAGTTCCCAAGTATAACCCTTATCATGGTGCCTGGCCTAAGGCAGGAGCTTGTTAGATGCTACCAAGGGCTGCCTCAGCCTAAGGGTGCAGGAGAGAGGAGGTGCAGGCTTCTCTTAACAGACAGTGTGGGTCTTTTTCCTGATCATTTCAGAATGATCATTGCCTGGAATTGGATGGGGCAGTCACTTGAGCTACCAGATAGCTAATTGCCCCTGCCTCTACTTCCCCTTTTTCCTACTCTAGTCCTTGGCAGCAAATCAAAGCCCTACATGGATACAGGAAATTAGGAACCGAGACCACTATCCATTTGGTTCAGGTGATAAAAGATTGGCTCTCCCTCAAAAAACTAGACCAGCCAAGTATTAACAAAATTGGTTTTCTTAAGAAAACAACAAAACCCACGTGGAACCATCCCAATAAAGAGGACCTCAGGTCCTTTGAGGACGTAGGATGAGTTGGGGGAATCCTCAGATGGGGTTTTTGTTGCTTGACCAAGTAAGACTGAGATTTACTGAAGTCACACTGCCTGGGACTCCATTTTCTCAAGAATGCAGGTGGCATCGCCAGCCTTCTGCCTCTCTTTGTTCAGGGTCTAGCTGACTCCCTGCCCCCAGGACTCCACTGCCAACACCTCTCTCTGGGAAAAGTTCCCACTATCTGCTGCTGGGGAAGCCAGGACCCTCGCCCAGGGCTGCCCAGCGTGGGTAGGCCCAGAGTTTAAATGAGACTCACCTAGGACATTTGCAAACACGTCTTCTGGTCCCTGGATAATGAAAAAGAAAGGAAAAAGTGAGTACCCCCCCACATACACCAATAGTTCCCCAATATGGTTTCTCCCTTTTCCTATGTCTTTGAGGATTATTAACGCTTTTTTTTTTTGAGACAGAGTCTCACTTTGGTGCCCAGGCTAAATAAAATGACTGCTGTGGCGTCAGCCTAACTCACAGCAACCTCAAACTCCTGGGCTCAAGCAATCCTCCTGCCTCAGTCTCCTGAGTAGCTGGGACTACAGGCATGTGCCACCATGCCCGGCTAATTTTTTCTATATATATTAGTTGGCCAATTAATTTCTTTCTATTTATAGTAGAGACAGGGGGTCTCGCTCTTGCTCAGGCTGGTTTCCGAACTCCTGATCCTCCCACCTCGGCCTCCCAGAGTGCTAGGATTACAGGCGTGAGCCAGGCGCCTGGCCAGCGGAGGATTATTAACTCTTGAGAGCCCCAGGGAGTGTTTCTTTTCCATCCCTCTTCTCAGGCATCAATTTAGAAAACACGGCGCCTACATATGTGGCTGAACAGTGGACACCCTGCAGACCTGAGCCGCCGCTGCAGGGGACCTAAAGCCGGGTGGGCGGTTGGCGGGGAAGGGACCCAGGGCAAAGCTCAGACCCGTGGCGGTTTTGACCTCGCCCTTCTGGGCGCGAGTTCCCGGACCACAGCGGCCCCTCCCGGCGGGCGTTTGTGTGTCCAGACCTGTGCGCTCGCTGCTGCCGCTGGCGGGTAGGGCTCTGTCGGTCCCCAGGGAAGACATGGGCTGTGCCTGTACCTGCAGTGTGGCTCCGGCGCCCCAGAAATCTCAACCCCATCTCCCCGCTGGGTGTGCCCAGTCGAGCAGCGGGATCGGGGCGAACTCCTCCCTGCTGTGATTCCTCAGGACTTACTGTGGTTGCAGATAACGGTGATGACCAGTGACAGCAGAAGGACGCCGCAGGCCCCGGCCAAGGGCGCCCAGATGTAGATATTACAGGCGAAGTCCAGCCCCCTCGTGTCCACTGACGACACCGAAGACGCGACACTTAGGAGCAGGTCTGGGACCCCCGACCCCACCCCGCCATCCCGGGCACGCGTCTCTGCCCCGGGTCTCGGTTTCCACACCACTTAGCGCTTGGCTCTAGCTCCAGTATCAGGGCTGCCCCTGGCAGGGGCTCTCCTTACGGTCCGTGCCGCCCCTGGCCCTGCCTGGCACCGCCGCCCGCCTTACCTGAGCTGCCCGGCGCGGGCCGGCACACTTCTGGGCGCAGGGACTTGGGCTGCGACGTGGTGGCGGGGGCCGGCGTCGGTGGTCGCGGCGCGGGCGTCGTGGTGGGCTTCGCTGCAGGAGCAACAGAGCGTGGTCGGGGGCCAGGCTGGGGTTGTGAACACGCCGCTGCCCCAGCCCCAGCCCCACGCGCCTTTACCCGAGAGGTGGGGACCCGGGGTACGCGCGGACTCCTTCCCGTCGGGGCCGTGGCCTGCGCTCCCAGCCCAGCCCAGCGCACGCGGCGCTCCCGACCCGAGCGCAGGAGCACGCTTCCCTCCACCGGGCCTCGCTCCAGGGCTGAACCAGCAATCCTGTGAACTCGGCTTGACATCCGCATTTTACTGACGAGCAAACCGGAGGCGTAGAGAAATTTGCGCACAACCACACAAGCACTCGAATTCGAGCCCAGATCAGCTGGACATAAAAAGCCATCTTCCGTCCCTGCTCAGCCGCACCTTAACCTCAGTTTGCTCGTCTGTGAAATGGGAACAGTATCTAGCCTCCATCCAGGTGCGCTAAGAGGCTTGAAAGTGGGGCGTCGGGGCACGTTGAGGTGACCCCAAGCCCCACGCAGCGAGGTGCCGCGCCCCGCGCCCGGACCTGGCAGGAAGACCGGCAGGAAGGTGCTGAAGTACAGTATCTGGTTGCTTATGACGGAGCAGAAATAGTAGCCTTCGTCCTTCTCGCGGAAGCGTTTTAGTCTAAGGCTGAAGTAGCTGTCCCGGATCCTCTCGGCGTGGAACTGCTGGGTGTCCAGCCCCTCGGCCAACCTGAGCCGGTTCGGGGAAACGTACAGGAGGAAGATGGGGCTCGCGGCGGGCCCGCGCGGATGGTAGAGCCACGAGCAGCCTGTCGTCGAGCTGTGCAGCAGCACCTCGCACCTCAGCTCCACTGGCTCGCCCAGACTCCAGGTCCTACCCAGCGGCGACATCCGGAACGGGCTCGGCTGGAGAGCCGCGACGGCATCTGCAGGCGGCAGGCGGCGAGGCTGAGCCGGGGTCCCGCGCCCCCCTCCCGCCCCACCCACTGCCTCCCGGCCGCGAACTCACGGAGCAGCAAGGCCAGCGGCAGGAGCCAGGCGGTCACCGGCGCGGCCATGGCGCGCTGGGCTAGGCGCGGCTCAGCTCGGACCCGGGGAGGCGCGCAGGAGCCGGCGCGGCGCGGAGGGCGGGCGGGGGCTGCGGGGGTGTCGCGTCCTTCGGCCTGGCCTCAGGCTGATTTCACGTCTGAAGGATGTGATGTCACCGAAGCCCCCGCGGAGGGGGGTCTGGAAGAGTCACCCTCCTCTTCGCGGTTGTCACCTTCCAGCCCTGTGAGGGTGCTGAGGTCTAGGCGACCTTGCCGAGCAGTGGGCGCCAGTTGAAAACTTTAGGTCAGCCGGTGAGGCAAAGGGCTTGGAAGTGGCCCATGGGAAACGGTCTTGTGGGAATGGCAGCGAGAGAGGATAAAGAGAGATTAAAGATTTCGAGAAGCGAAGGTGAGAGTGGGCAGGAAAGGAGAGGCGTGTCCCTTCCTTTGCCCTCACCCAGTGTCTCTTGCACTGTCACCTTGGAGCTTTTTGTCTGAAAAATGGGCACTGAGGGCTGAAAAGGAAGAGAGGAGTTAGTGACCTGCTCACTTCTGGGGAACCCAGGCAGGGCAGCTCAGACTGTTCTCCGACGAAGGGCCTTCTCCTCTGCCCCAGGAGAGTCCATAGCGGTCGCAGCCAAGCTGTGGGTAGCACTGGCGGTGACCTGCTGACCACACCCTGTGGGGCTTTCACCTGGTGGCTTAAACTCACCACACAGACTCGTGGCTTCTTGGGGCCATTGCAGCAGCCTCCCCAGCAGTCTCTCTCCTGACCAGTCCTCCAGCCATCTTGCTATGGAAATCGTTCTCATAAAGGGCATTGACAGTGTCACTCCTGCAGCCTCCCATGACCTGCATTGCTGGATGGAAACTCAATCCTCTGGCTTAGTTTACCAGACTTTCGGTGCTGGCTCCTCCCAGCCTCTGCCCCAGCCTCCTGCTTCTGCCTTTCCCATGCACCTGCAGCTGCATCCTCACAGGCTTGAAGTTATCTAAACCCTGAGCTTTCGGGTCCTTGCATTGGCTGTCCCTTTGCCTGGAATGCCAGTCTGTTTACACCCTAGAGCCAGTTCCTGTGCTACCTGCCTTGGACTCCAGTTTTCTCATCCCCAGCTTTCTGGGTGTTCTGCAGGGATGTGTGTGTGACCTGGGTGAATACTTGGGTGAAGGCAGTTTTCCCTCTTCTGTCCCTGGTGCAACACAGCAACACATATGTCCATATGTCCCTTCATTTTTTTTTTTTTAAAGAGATGAGGTCTTGATATGTTGATCAGGCTGGCCTTGAACTCCAGACCTCAAGAAGTCCTCCTGCCTCAGTCTCCTGAGTAGCTTGGGCTACAGGGGTGCCCTTCTGTTTTGTCTACTGCTGTCCTGAAACCTTCCAGCCCTAGTGATGTAACTTCTTCCTCTTTCTTTCTCTTTCTTTCTTTCTTTCTTTCTTTTTCTTTCTTTCTCTCTTTTTCTTTCTTCTTTCTTTCTTTCTTTTCTCTTTTTCTCTTTCCTCTCTCTCTCTCTCTCTCTTTCTCTCTCTCTTCGTTCTCTCTCTCTCTCTCTTCTTCTCTTTCCTCTCCTTCCTCTCTCTCTCTCTCTCTCTTTTCTTCTTTTTTTTGAGACAGTCTCACTCTGTTGCCCGGGCTAGAGTGCCGTGGCATCAGCCTAGCTCACAGCAACCTTAAACCCCTGGGCTCAAGTGATCCTTCTGCCTCAGCCTCCAGAGTAGCTGGGACTACAGACATGCACCACCATGCCTGACTAATTTTTTCTATTTTTGGTAGAGACGGGGTCTTGCTCTTACTCAGGGTGGTCTCGAACTTCTGAGCTCAAACGATCTGCCCGCCTTGGCCTGAGTGCTAGGATTACAGGCGTGAGCCACTCTGCCTGGCCTTCCTCCCATTTCTTTAGGGAAAAAAATTGCAGGGAAAAAAATGTCTTCCTCTTATTCATTCAACGTCTTTTCACTTTGAATCCCATGGTAGGTGACCTCACATCGCTGCTTGATTCTACAAGATGCTTGGCATTCTCTGTTCCACATGTCTGCCCTGCATGTGAATTCTGCTGGGAAAGGACTATGTCCCAGACTTTGGATGTGTCCCTATCCCCAGAAGTCACATCACTGCATGGGCTGAACTGTGTTCGTTGTCCCTTCGTGGGATCCAAACTTAAGTTCCAGATGGGCTATCTAAAAAAATTACTTTAATCTCTATGCCCCTCCTTTTTAAAATACCCGGGATGCTTATTCTAACATGGAGCACATAACCTTTTATGTTTAGAAATGTTTTTAAAAGTGTCTTTTAAATGACAAGAGAATGATACATTCTCACAAAACTTCAGACAGTACAAAAATGAATGCACAGAAAATCTCCTGTTTCAATTCTCCTCACTGTCGTCTACTCTCCAGAGAAAACCACTGGTGCAGTTGAGTGTGTTCTGAGATATCATCTGTGCACAAACAGATGTTTATACATTGTTTTAGACACGAGACTGTATTATGCATATATTTTTGCAAACTACCTTTCTTATTTAAGAGTAGAAGAAGAGAAGCTTGATCATGTGTAGGTCCACCTTATTCTTATAAATGAGTGCATTTTATATGGGTCTTCTATAATTTAGTTCTTCTACTCATGGACTTTAGGGCAGTTTCTCACTATTGTAGTAACTAGCAAGGCTGTGGTAGACTCATTGTACTTGTACCACTGAGGACTTGTGCCGATACATGTGGCATTTTCAAATGGAAGATGAGTGAGTTGGGGAAGGAGAAACTTCTGCGATGATGATTATGCATATAAATGTATGTGCGTGTGTGCGTCTGCATGCATGTGCATGTGCATGTGTGTATGTATGTATGTCCCTGGCTGTGTAGAAACAGTGCTGTCCCTTAACTCACATGAATGAGAGGGACAAGGAAACAGCCAAGTCCAGAGAGGCCACCGACAATCCTTGCTTTATATGGCAGTTTCCCATTTTGCTCGGTTGCCACTCGCACTGCAGGAGGAGTGTCTCATGGCCCTGCTGGCCAAAGGCTACTATCAGGAGGGTGGTAAAAAGCATGGCGAGACATGAAGGTGTACCTTGCCAGGTGGAGGAAGCATTAGAGGGGGCCAGAGTCAACCTCCTGATATTTGGATCTTGGGAACTAAGCCCCTAAATATGATGATGGCCAGATTTTGGGGTTTTCTGCTTGAAAATAGAGTAGCACCATCTCGGTCTGGCAGAAGTGAGCTATAGCTGGCTTGGGGGCCTTCCAGTCTTGCAGCTAGAAAAGCATCAGCCATAGGGGTGGCAGCCCCTTTGAACAGAGCTCCATGGGGGGAGAGGTGAAAGACAAGGCAACATGTCAAACCCACCAAGGAGGCTTTGTGACCCCAATGATATTTTTCACAGAATGTGGTGGATTCTCGATGTAACCACAACGACATCCGCCCTGCAGCAGGGAGAAGAGCAGATGCACTTGCACGAATCTGGAGATGCTCGCTTTTTGTAGCCCAGGTGTGCAGAGGGCTGGGTCGGGCCTACCCATCACTGCCAGGTGAGCTCCCACAGCCCACATTGCGGCACTCACGCAGGATGGCATGAAGAAACGGGATTGGCTGTGCTCCGTTAAGCAAGCCCCTTATTTTAAAAAATGTCCACAGAGAGATAGGGTAAGACTGTGATTGGTTTCTATGCTGAATTTAAACAAGTATTTGTTTTTCTCAAGGTGTCTGTTCTTAAAACAAGGAAATGAAATAATTCTGATTTATGTTAATTAAAGACATTCAAAATGCATAACTGGGCAGGGCAGTGTTCTCAGGGTTCTGTGGCACAGCTCCTAAGACGCAGACTACAGGGACAACCTGGAGTCATGGCTGTGGAGTTGCCTGCTGAACCCTTTGCCAGTTCAGTCAACAGACATGTTACTGGTCTCCTTGGAAGGAATGGAAGGAGTTAGCTTGTTTGGGGCTAGAAAGGCCATTGAAACTCTAGAGTTATCAGGGCTTTGCTTTAGCTCAATCATAAATACCTGTCAGGTCTACCTCACTTCTGCCATTCTTACTTTCCTCCACCCTAGAATGCCCAAGTTCATCTAGGCTGCTGTCATCTCTTGCCTAGACTTTTGCAATGGTCTCCTAATTGGTCACCCTACTTCTATTCTGGTCCCTTCCAGTGACAATCTTGCTGTGCCAGCCCCCTGCTTCAACCCACAAGGGCTTCCCATGGTCCCTAGGAGCTCACCTTCTCCACGGCTCCTGGGCTTGATGCCTCTCTTGTTTCTCAAATGGGCCCTACTCCTTTATGTCTCAAGGCCACTGAACATGCTTTCCCTGAGCCCAGAATGTTCCCAGCTCTGCTCTGTGCTTAGCAAACTCCTCTTCCTTGAGAGCTCAAGTATCTCCTTCCTGTGAGGCTCAGCCCCTGCCCACCTCTCACTCCCAGGCAGTAAGGATCACATCTTTCTCTGTATCACCTGGGCCTTGGGTATCCCTGGACTGGAGCACAGTGGTTTGTTTGCTTGTCCAGACTACCAGACCGTTGGTCCCTTGTGAAAAAATTTTGTTTCACTTATGTTTACACCAGTGTATCAAACAAGGAAGCTTGGTACACACTTGGTCTTCAATAGACACCTGTTTAATAAAAGCTAAATGAAGGCAGAAGTGGGGTATAGCAGACCACAGGAGGCAGAGATGAGGTAAGAGTTATCAGGAAAGGCTTTACATGTAGTTGGGTTTGAAGATAAGGGAAGAATTAGGAGAGAGGTTGGATAGAAGGAGGCATTTGATTTCTGGGCAAGAGTGTGCCAATACCATGCTTTAACCCACAGTTATGGTACAGTTCAAAATAGAAAAAGGAGGAAGGGAAGAAGGCAGGTGCACTCAAAAGCAACGTAAACATCTTCAAGGATGTAGTGGGGGAGCCAGGGCTCGAGTCAGAGGATGGCTTACTGGGTCTGTTCTTGAGCAGCCCATTCTTGGGTCTGGGTCTTGAAAGTCTGTTCTTAGTGCAGAGACACCAAGAATTTGACTCCTTCAGCTAGCAGGGTCCCAACATGCTTCACCTATGGAAGGGGGCTGGAGCTAGGCTCTGTTTGAAATAGGAGATTGGATCTGGATTTCTCTTGGTTG